GTGAAAGTATTACGGAGGTTTGAAGCAATAGGAATCAAAAGTAAGTATTTGGAAAGTAAACAAGGCAGTGAGGATACTATGCATTTGTTCAAAAGTAACACACTTAATATAAAAATAAAAAGATATAAAACAAAACTTCTGTGGAAAAAGGATCATCAGAATATAGGTAATTATTATGAGGTTGCTAAGTTTAGACTCATTCGGCTGGGGAATAAATTAACAAACAACCTAAAATTAATTAAGACACAAATTATTAATTTAAATTTAACCTAAAATTATTCCACCACTATGACAAAATATTAAGGAAACAGCTAAACAATAAGGTTAAAATGACAGTTTCAGGTACTGGACAATTAGTTATTACCTACATCATCATGTAGTGGTTACAACAGAAAAATCAACCACTAAATCATGTTATGTCGTCTATGATGCATCTTCTAAAGATAAATGCAAAGTATCCCTTAATGACTGCCTAGTTTACGGACATTAATCTTCTACAAAATGTATTTACCAAAATTATCTACCAAAAATTATACTATCAAATTTCTGCAAACTTAAGGTTGGATTTGTAGCAAATATTGAGAAAGTGTTTCTGCAAGTGGAAATTACTGCAAAAAAATTAAACTTCCTCAAATTCATATGGTTTAGGAATAACCAAATATAATGCCACGAAAACAGCTTAAAATTACTTAGATTTTGCAAGAGTTCCGTTTGGAGTTTCGTGTAGCCCCTTCTCCAACTATTAGACTGCATTTAAAGAAATACACAGAAAGTAAAAGTGAAGCTTGCCAAATGCTGCATAAGCTTTATGTTGATGATTTCATTTATGGAGCAGACACTGGATAGAAGATTTCGCACTTGTCTTCGGATGCATGAGAATGGCGGAAGCCCGTATGAAGTTATGGAAATTTCCACAAATTCTGAACAGCTAAAAACCATATGGGCAGAGGAAAGTATCGACTGTCTACCGGTGGATACTTTTAGTGATATACCATTGAAGGTTTTGGGAGTTGTATGGAATAATTCAGAAGATTGCTGAAGATTGATTTGTTCGGCCTTTTGAAGGAGATAGAACATCTTGGTGAAACGAGAGCTATAAAACATACCATGTTAAGTACCTATGGTTGACCCCACAGGCATGCCTGCAACTTTTGCAATCAAATAAAACTTTTACTACAAGCACTTTTGGGAGATGGAAATTGGTTGGGATGAACATTATCTGAGGATTTTGCAGTCACAATGGAATGAGTAGCAAACAAAAATGAACCACCTGCAGATGTCACATGAAGTTAAATCAGAATGCAAAGCGTTATTAAACTTGAATAATTACAGCAGTCTGCATAGGGTTATTTGAGTTTCAGCATGGATAAAGAGATTTGTTCCTGAAAGAAAAGAACTAGCTGAAGCTGAAATGTTCTGGGTAAAGTATGTTCAAGAAACCAAGTTCCAAAATGAATTAAATACAATTATCTCAAAAAAAAAAAAAAAAATGAATAACTCTTCTTAATTGAATGGTCTTGACTTAACAGTGAATGAAAATTGACTTATACGTTTACACAGACGGCTTCAGAATTCATGTTTAACTCCTAGTCAAAAACATCCCTGGATACTTCCAGACATACTTTACAACATTGTTAATTATTTGAAAACATCAAAATGTGTTGTGAAAATGTGTTTCTGGCACACTCGTACAAATTAGAGATGGATATTGGATAATAAGATGTCGCCAAAGCATTAAAAGATATTTGAAAAATTGTTATAAAAGCACGAGGTTCAAAGCATGCCAAAGACTTCATTGCCTCTCGACAGAATTAAAGAAGTGTGTGTATTTTAGATTACAATAGTGGACTTTGCATGACCACTTTATGTGAAAAGTATATATGAAAAATCATACATTGCCATTTTCTCATATGCAGTAACACATGCCATTAACTTTAAAATGGTTTCAGGCCTCACAAGTGAGAAATATCTTCTTGCCTTTCGACATTTCACAGCAAGACACAGATTATGTGGAATTGTATACAGTAACAATGCAAATACCTTTTAATAGAGCAGAATACGACTTCCAAATATTAAGGAAATGAGTTACAAATAATCGTGGATTAGTATGGTAAAAAAGACATCAACTTTAAAAGGTGCAACTTTAAAAGGCATCAACTTTAGGAAAGGCTACTTGGTAAGAGAGAATTTGGGGACAGGATGATAAAAATTTGTTTGAAGAAAATTTTAGGAAGGACCTTATTACCATATGAAGAACTTCAAACTATAGTAATGGGAACTGATGCTGTATTAATTCTTGGCCAATAAACTTACATGTATAATGATCCTTTTGAAATATCTGTCCTAACTTCTCATTTTTTAGTAGGTAAAACACTGCCACCTCTACCTGATTTAGCTACAACCACCGAAAAAGATAGCTGCAACCAAAAGGTCATCCTGAAAAGTTATGTATATTCCCATGGTCTACTGAATAACTTTTAGCTGAATAGGCGCAAGGAATATTTACGACAACAAAAGGGTACATACAATGCCTACCAACGTGGCCAATAAGGTCAAGATGGGTGGTATTGTGTTAATACAAGAAGACAAGCCACTCCCATATGTGGAGACTTATTAAGGTTGTATATATTCATATAGGAAGAGATGGAAGGGTATGTTGTTGCACTTTGAAGGTTCCAAGTTGAATTTTCAGGAGGCCAATGCAATTACTTTACTATTTAGAACTTAAGAAGTTTGCAAAACTACCTTACTTTAATTTCATATGATTTAATTTATTTCTGATCAACTTCTTCATCCCAGAAGGATGAGAGACCATCCAGAGATGTACTGGAAATTATGCAATTATTCTCTGCTGACTTGACACAGGATGAGCATGTACAGCACGCATCATACAGATTTTATAATTGGGTACTGATTTTGGACTATGAGTTCTATCTGTTGAGGGAACTAACCCGATGTGTTAAGTGCCGTCAGTCACATTTATACATAAATAGATCTCAAGGTACAGAGCACTGAAGTTCCATTCACTGCTTATTAAAAGACATTTTAATATTTCATGTTTTATGCTGCTTGCACCAGTGCAAAATTATTAATTGGAGGTAATAATATCAGCTCATGCTAAACAATTATTCGAATATTCTTCTTTCATTTTGTATTTGAGACAACAATAGCTCTTACATAAATATCTTGCTTACTGAATTTCCTTGATAGTATTGTATAAGATTTGGGTTTTGTGGATATAGATTATACTTGCAAACATATTTCTTGCAATATGTTTTCTCTTCATTGAAACAATGTTCTTTAATGGCTTATCTTAGCAGTTACAGTGTTTCAGTCTCCCCCCCCCATATCCCTCAACCAACATTTAAACATGAACATGACAGTTGCCATGACTTAATAGTACTCCCATAATTTTTTGTTACTAATGCAGCAATTAGACAGAAATGTATAATCCCCCCTCTTTGGAACTCTTCTAAGATCATTCATTCTGCCTTTGCTCTGAACTAATATGCAAAATATTTTACAAAATTAGTGTTAAAACTTTTACCTTTCGCTCTGTAATCAATAAAAGGTTTCTTAAAACAACTCTTTTTTTTTCCCCCCAACAGAAGTCCTTAAATGAGCTTTACTTTTACAACTGTTAATTGCACACACACATTTCCAGTAATAAATAGGTTTAAATGATGTTGTGGTCTCCAAATATATTTATTAGTAATAAAAGTTAACATTCACTAGCAAAAATTAAAGCATTAAAAGTTTGACTGTCACAAGACCAAAATTTACCCAGGTATTTATTCTTTCATATTATACACAAACTGAAGAGCAAAATGCTTGCAAGTGTACAGAACTTAAAATTAAATATCACTTCTAAAATTTTCCTAGTGTTACAATGTTAAATGACACGCATTGCTATGCAGATTGTTGTTAAAAGCAATGATCAATATAGATCTTTTTAAAAAGGAGAATCATATTCACAGAATCTTACAAAATTTTTGTTCAGCAGACATGAGTATTCAAACACACCCAACCCATAATTTTGATAGTAAAAAAATTAAAATTACAAATATTTCTAGTTTAATAAATTTTTTGTTGATGATCAGATAATTCTAAAGTAACAAAACTGCATAACAATATTAATAATGTGCTTAAAACATTCAAAAATTTATAAATGACTTGTGCGGAAATTCTACAACATACCATATCTAACATAAATTAGAATTTAAGGAATGTTACACGCTAGCAAACAAAAGAATATCACAGAATGCTTTAAAGGTAAATAAATCAGCCTTGAATTTTTTTAACCAACCTCCAAGGTAAAAGAAAAATGACATAAAAAATATTAAATTTTCAAATTAAATATCTGGGTGAATTTCTGTCATTCTGTCTGACAAACTTCTTTTCTTTTATTTTCTAAAACTAATATAGGTTTTTTACTAATATGAACAGAAGCAGTCTGATTTTTTTAAGTTGAAAAATGCCAGAATATGGATATTTGAATCATTTAAAATATTTTTGTAATGGGAAGTATACGTTTACAACTAACAATTGCAAAAATGAAGGCAGCATAATAACATTTTTGGAGATGATGCATATTTATTATGCTTTTATAACATCTGATACACACATGAATTAAGTATTTAAAGTAGTAGTAATAAAAAAATCAATAAAGCAGTAATAAAAAAATTAATGAAAGCATTTTTTAATCATCCAAGTGGCCAAGTGTTTAGCCCTGTACATCTAAATTTCTCAAAAAGACCTTGTGTAATATGTTTTTGATTATACATAAAAATATGTCTCCCTTAATTTGTGCCGAGACTCTTTTCCTTCCAATACGTATGCTACAGTAACTGGCCAAGCACATTTTAAAATACATATCTGTGTACTTACAAATGTCAAGATTATTTTCGAATGCATATGGCAGTTTAGAAAATTAAAACAAAAATAACCAAATAATTGCAAAATGATATATATATATATATATATATATATATATACTTTACCATGCAACCTCTCCCTTTTATTTTTCTTCCAGATCTGGACCTTGAAGGTCGGCGTTGAAAGTTAAATGTTTCCCTTATTCGAGAATCCCTTAAAGAGAATACATTTTCAATATCTTATCACATATTAATGTTAATTTATAAACAAAAATATATATATAATGCCTTTTTAAGGCATAAGAAGCTGTCTAAAAATTTACCTTCTGGTATTATCAGCAATAGGTGATGTCCTTCTCATTAAAAAGTTATTCACAGGAATAGTTGGAATTTCATCAGGATCAACCATACATCCTAGATCTGAAGTATTTTTTTCCATATTTGAACTAAAAAATTAAATATAGGATAAAGCCTAATTATCTAAGTAGAAATCAATTATAAAACCATTGAAACAATAAAATAGAGATTAAAAGAAAATTGTAACAAACTATTAATTACTATGATACTCTTTTAATTGCTTCCCTCTCATTTCAAAATGAGATTTAATGGGAGGAAACAATGCAGCAGAACTTGCAGCATTGAAAGGAAATTTTCTCCCAGAATGAGAAACCCATAAATTATTTTTAACATATTAAATTGTAAAACACAAAACAAAACAACTGCAACAAATATGAAACTGAAAACATGCCAACCTTCCAAATGCAAGAATCAAAACACATTTTTCAAAGAGTAAAAACATACAAAAAGAAAATTCTTTTTTAAAATAACAAACTACCAATACTATCTAATTAAAACCTGTCAGTGAAATCATACGTCAAATCAGTGAACCCTTTAACGTGTGATGGTCACGCCCTGAAACCAATTTTAGAATTTTTTTCTCTTCTTCTTTCCAAAATTTTTGAATGAAAATCAATTGATTACTGATCTTTTACCTCTAAATAACACAAAATGACTGCAGAATTATACATGTTTTAGATCTTAGTACTTCAAATCAGATGCCTTTTAAAATTTGCTTTCAATGAGACACAATAACTTCCTTTTATTATATAAATAACTTTAAATTTCCAAAGTTATTCATCGCAAATCATGATTTCTATCATAAACAATAAAAAATTGCATATATAAAAAAACTGGCATTTGCTTTGTGGTTTCAGGGCGCGACAATTGAGCCGCTACAGCATTGTGTCACAATGCTCACAATCCTCTAGAGGTGCGGTAGTCACGCTTTGAAACCACTGCTCTTCACAATGGCGTTTGCTTTGCTTTTCAAATAGGAATGTTTATTTTTACATGGATATAGATAAGCGGCTTTGAAACCACAGATTTATTTTATTACTAAACAATACATGTACCTGCGCAGTAAAAAGGTCTTTCTTTTCCAGAGACTTTTCTCTGACCTCAACACACTTGCTCCCCAAACTAGTATTGTGATTTTATAAATTATTTCGTGTGGTTTAAATTTAATGTAAATATACTTTGCTATAATTAAAAATAGAAACTGTGTAAAGTTTTATTTAAATTAAAAATATTTTCTGAATATTTTGGAATGAAGTATGAATAAAATAAGTATGAACAGGAAACAAATGATCCGTACCAAAGCCAAAAAGACCAACCCCCCCCCATTAACATAAAAAAACCACAAATTTCATGTGCCAGATAAAAAGAAACTAAATAACGCTGGACATATACCACTGAAATTTAGATCCAGGCAGAGTACATTTTGCAGCACAAAGAAGAAACCTCATAGAAGATACATGTGCGAAACGTGCAATGTGGATGCATGTACCAAAAGGGCAAAAACATGCTTTGATCAGTGTTACAAAAAAAAAAAAAAAAAAATCTTTGAAATTTTTTTAAAAAAAAAAAAAGGTTTCCCCCCCCTCCTTTTTTTAAAAAAAATCTTTATTTACTGAGTTTTTTATCCATTTATCCGAACGTTCTTGTTATGTAGGTACTTATATTTTCACTGCTATAGAAAAATTACATAAATTTTTATTTTTGAATTTTTTCTGACGATTTACTTTTTTTTTTTTTTTTTGACGATTTAAGGGATGACAAACCACTACATGTAGTCACAGTAATTCCCTTACATTCACCAAAGGTAACTGTTTGGTGTGGGTTCACAGTGGAATTTATCATAGGTCCATTCTTCTATGAGAACATTACCCCGACAGGACCGGAAACCTGTTCTGTTACCGGAGAGAAATATCGCCACATGTTGAACAGCTTTGTCATTCCGGCACTTCAGCAAAGACAATGCCTGGGGTAAATCCTTTTCATGCAAGATGGAGCCCCTCCACACATTGCTGTATGGGTGCAACAGATGCTACGACAGAAATTCACAACAGAAAGAGTCATTAGCCGCTACATTCCAACTGCATGGCCACCTGGGTCGTCTGATCTTACCCCATGCGACTTCTGGCTATGGGGTTACCTTAAATCCAAGATCTATCAAGGAGTGGTTGTAAATAATGTAAAAAAATTATATATAATGCAATTCTTACATACATTTTTTTTAATTCGTAAATTTTGTCATTTATGGGAAAAGAGCATGGAAAAAGCTAAGTTTTTTTTCCCTACTACCTCAGTAAGTTTCAAAGTCCTACGCGCACAGTGGTTTCACAGTGCGACCACCACCCACAGAACAATGGGCAAGAGTAGATTTTTTTTTTTTAATTCATACATTATTTGTCTCTAGAATCATAATATTCAATTTCTAGAGTTTTTAGTTAAATTATAAAAATAATATTGTGCACGTCAAAGGGATAAAGAGTTAAGTTCAACTAGTACAAAAACACTCACACATTAAAGAAAATTTTCATTACTTGAAATGTTTTATAACAAAATAATTATTTTATCTATTTTCCCACAATTCTCAACAAAAGTAGTATATTTTCCTTCCTTTAAAAGTGGAATATCATAATTCTGTGAATAGCAAATGCCACAAAGCCCTGCTTTTAATAATAAAATTTTCTGCACTATATCATCATTTATAATGAATATAATCTGTGTTTTAATAACAATACTGAAAATTCTCTCACACTTGGTACTGCTATGTGGAAAAATCAAAGATGATCAATATTTATCAAAATATTTTTAAGAGTTCATTATACTTTAAAATTCCAGCAGTATTTTTTAGTTTGTTAATTAGATTCTGTCGAATATCAAATCTTATTGGTTCTCTAACTTCATCCATGATTTCTAATAATAGTAAATTTCGAAATTGTGATTTATCTGTTGAAACACTAATATCTTTGTCCTTGAAAACTAAGGAAAAGAAAACTAGAAACCTATTTTTAAAAAAAATATTACATCAGAAAAAGAAGCAATTCTTAGAATAGAAACACCTGCAATTCTAGTATGTAAAATTACTTTCATATTAATAAAAAAAATTTAATTAAAAAGTTACTTCTAATATGTAAATAAACCCCTTTTTGCCTTCATTTGGAACATCTTTCATTACTTTATTAGCAGCAGTTCCTATTATTCTATTTTAATATCACTCAAATGATATACAGAATCAGAAAATAAAGGCTAGTTTTACAAACTAACAAAATGTCTTTAAACAAATCACTGATCGTTGAATTCAAATTTGAACTAAAAGAATTTTTTGCTGTAGATCTACATTCAGAACATCGAATAATGAAAAAATGGGAGTGCACAAAAAAGCAGAAAGCTTTGTCAAGACAAAATCATAAATACTTGCTCTTCACGAGATAACCTCAAAGTAAATGGCAAAAGTTTCCTTGACAAGCAACTTTATTATTATTATTATGAGAGACCTGTGTATCGATTTTTCTCTGTATCTATCGAATCGGGGGTGGGTTGTATTTTTAAGAATGGTAAATTATACTCCTCACTACTGAAAAGTTACTTTATTTTTTCTGCCTTTATTAGGCTTTTATTTTCCATTGTTAAAATAAAAGCCTAATAAAGGCTTTTATTATAACAATGGAAGTAGTGAAACCATCTTAATTTTATTTTAGATGTTTTTTATCTTCCAACAAAGCCTTTTATCTTAACAGTAGAAGCATTTACTTCCTCCTTTAAAAATGTAAGAAGTGTTTTGTTGGTCTAGGATTCTAGATAAATATTTCTCTAAAGATTATCAGGGTGTATATACACTGCTCGACACTGAAAATGCAACACCAAGAAGGAGTGGTCAGAAAATGATGAAATTTGGAAAAAAGACAGAGACAGCAAGCAGTGATAAGTTATCTTTATTTCAAAATGATAGTCAGAATACAGAGCGAGAACGGCGTCGGCTCAGTAGGATGTAGGACCACAGCGGACAGTGATGCACGAAGAAACACGTCTAGGCATAGAGTCAATAGTGCACATGGTGTCCTGAGGGATGGCTCTCCCTTTCAACCATTTGCCACAGTTCGTCTTCTAAACTAGGCAGGGACAGAGTCTGCAAACAGCGTCCAATCACATCCTACACATGTTCAACTGGTGACTGGTCAGGAGAGTACGGTGGCCAGGGAAGCATCTGTATACCTTGCAGAGCACATTGGCAGATGCGAGCACTGTGTGGTCGGGCGTTATCCTGCTGAAAAATTCCATTAGGCAGCCCCTGAAGGTACGGGATTCCCACCAGCCACAGTACATTATCCAAGTATCGTTGGGCCGTCATAGTACCCTCATTACGAACTAGAGGTGATCTGGAATCGTAGGCAATAGCACCCCAAACCACTATGCCACGTTGTTACACAGCGGGGCGTTCCGCAATTACTGCCGGATTAGATCTGTCTCCACGTCGATGCCACACACGTATGCGGCGACTGTCACTGGATAAACAGAAGCGTGACTCATCTGAGAACACGATGTTTCACCATTATGTCATCCACATCATTCCAGTCAGTCACCATTCTAAACTTGCCGTCTATGCTGTGGGTGAATGGCAGTCTTCTTAACGGATGCCATGAGTGCAGGCCACGTTCAAACAATTGACGGGAAATGGTTCTGGTCGACACGGGAACATCCAGGGTATCTTGCACATGCTGCAGAATTGCAGTACAAGTAACTTGCGGACCGCCCCAGCTTGTCGGCGGATGCGTCGATCCACGCATGCTGACGTCACTCTGGCTGCCACCTGCAGCCCTCCTTCTTCCCACATTTCCTTGTTCCAACCAAGTTCACCATAGCCGATGCACAGTGCTCGCATCCATGTGGGTATCAGCTGCGATTTAACGTAAGGACCACCCCCCCCCTTCTCAGTTCGATCACCATACTCCTCGTAAAATCGTCTATCTGCTGGAAGCGCCTTCGTTGACGGCGGCCTGGCATTCTCTACTATTACACGTATCCTCCGGGACTAAAACCAACTTTCTTCGATAATTCGTCTGGCAGAAATAACGAAACGAATATTGCCCATTCTGCACGTTCCTTCCCTTATATCTTACTTCACGAGCGTCTGAGAGCTGCGCATTTCACGTCATTCACATAACTCAGTGATGTGCGTCTACTCTAAAATTTGCATAAATTTCTGACCACTCCTTCTTGGTGTTGCATTTTCAATGTCCAGCAGTGTATATTTTTTAATTCTTCCCCCCGCCCCCAGCATTATATAGCTGCTGGAATTTTTCCAATTTTTCCTTCCTTTCCGAAATCTTTTGGAGAGAGTAATTAAAATTTTAAAAATTAATTTACATTTATTGGTAAAAAAGGTGCACCTTTTCAGCAGCTAAATTTAAAAGATGATACCTCATTATTTGCAAATCTGAGTTTTCATTTCCAAATTGACTACAACTCCAGGCTTCAAACCTGCCATTAGTGATCCATTGCCTGTTAAACAAATATCAGAGGAACTCCATTTTATTCCTAAGTTGAATGTTGCTATATTAAAACTTGTAGAATATCTTCCAAAGTGAAAACATAAATAATGTAAATACTAGCAGTCTTTCCTTTATTATTTACTTGGAAATGTCTCTGACCTATTTTTTATGTGTGTATGTGTGTTATGTATGTAGACGTGCGCTTTTGGCTTGCTTGTGTTCCATTTAGTATTTACAAAACAAAACATTAAATAAACTGACACATCTCATCGAAACTGACCACCCCTGTTTGCAAATGAACGGAGTTCTTTTTTTCTTATTTGGCAATGGGAGGATCTGTTTAAAGCACATAGCTTATAGGAACTAGTTCCTCGGATTCCCAACTGTCAGCACTCTGTCACTAGTTGCAGATCTATGTCCTTTCGAGTCATAATTATTCATTGCTCCTGTGGATCTGATTCCAATAGAGTCTTTTCAATCACTCCTGCTCTATCGCAAATCTGCTCCTGCAGATTCTTGATTGTTTGCTCTTTTCACTTTCTCAGAGCTGTTCCTTTGAGTTTCATTTTGATTCTTTGAATGCTGTGTTATAGCTATGTATATTAGGTATTCCTTTTTTTATATATATTACTGTAATATTTATGCAAAATAATAAATCATATTTTTATTTATATACTTATTTTACTAACATCTTGTAATCAAAAGCTGTGAATTTCTCTTTAAGCTTCTTTAGAATTAGTATACATTTATAAACATAATTTTTTTCTATCTAATGTATTTTTTCAAGGTTGCAGAACAAAACGTGGATTCAAAATGGAACAAAATGTGGATGTTCTTAGTATTTCTGCTATTAGAATATATATTCAGAAGTAGACTGTGCTCAAATAAAAACAGAAAACAGATATTCTGCATTAATAACTTTTTGGTCCTTAGTTTCCACAGGAAAATTTAATTTTTTATTTATTTCAATACATTTTGCATTATCCTTGGTGTATTTTTGTATGCACATTTCAATACTTCGTATGACAAAATACAAAAATCTAATAACAAACAGTATGCATTGCAAATACACCATATTTTCTTGATGAAATAATAAAAGGCAAGGTATCAGTGTATGTTATTTGAAAAGTATATGACTATTCTTATTTTTTCCCCACACATAATTAAGACAAATAGACCACAAATCCTTAAATAACTTCAACAAACACAGGAAACTCACACTGTTTAGCTACAATGTTTCGAACTTACTCAGCTTATTGGCTGATGTGTGCCAGATGACTTGCAGCTGCACTTGATGCTCATTAAAGAACTGAACTGTGTCATAATCAGGGACATCTACTCCAACACCCATACACAAAACTTTTTTAAAAAAATAAGCAATCAAAAGAAAAAGCAAAAGATCTCAGACATACGAAATTCTGTTTCTAGGTAAAAATGAAATTTTAAGCCAAGCTGACAAAGTGTACAAGTCTTAAAATTTCAGGAGAAATATGTTGTAAATTGTCAGGAGTTATAAAAGTCGGACGAAAAATTGTACAAGACAGGGGAAAAATGTAAAAATCAGGAGAAATATACTGTAAATTGGGCTGGCAGAAGCATTGCTCAAATGCGAAGGGCAGGAAAGAAGGGTCTCATCAACCAAATCAAACTTCAAAATGATGGAAGAATTAGGTTACATGATTATGATTTAATACAAAACAAAAATTTATAGAATACTTTTTTTAATATTTTCACATTCATCCTGTGTTAAACTATGCCCAATGTAAATTATATATTTTACTTATTTTAAACAAGATAAAAATATCATCCTACATAAAATAAATTGTTCCATACATATATTTTACATACAATAAAAACTTATAATACAATAACTATTAATATATTTACATACAATAAAAACTTTTAAAATTTAAAGATAAAAATCATATTAAAAATGGTACAATAATTATTACATTAAAATGGATTTTAACTATTAAAATATAAATAATTTTCAATTAATGAGTAAATGATTTTTACTTATAATTTTTCACATCCTTCTTGTCTTTTTTATGTTTCTTAGAATGTTTATGCTTCTTCTTTTTCTTAGACCTTTCCCTTTCATCTTCAGAATCGTAATCAGATTCCGAAGATTCTGATGCTAATTCTTTTTTTTTCTTCTTATCTGAAATTGTAAGACATTTTCTTTTCCTTTAATTTATACTGCAAAAAATTAACTGAAAAGTTGCATATGAAAATGTGATGTTAATAAAAAAGAAAGTATAATTTATATTAAGGACAGAGTGTTCAAATTCTTTAATATTCAAATCCCACAAATCCTGATCATGCCTCTTTCTATTGCTCAAAATTTTCAAATCATTACCTGACAGCCATTAAAATACTTCAATTCAAAACTTTAGAAAAACTTGTTTAATTTATGCACAACATAAGTGTTAATAAAAAAAAATTACATTGAAAAAAAAATTACAATTTCAGAATATGTGGGTCATGAGTATCAGTTTCATTGTGATTTTCAGTGTCACACTGGAAAGTGTGCTTTTTATGAACTCTTAAAAGTAAACAAGTTTTTGACTTTTTCAATTTTCTGAGCAGAATTTGCCCTTCCTCTCCAAGATTACACTGAAAAAAAATAAGCTTCAAATTCAAACAGTTTTAATTATATACTTCATTTATAGTTTCTTGATAAATATGTTTCTAGAATCTGTGCTATTAAATTATTTTTCCTTAAACGCATTTTCACATTTTGATTTAACTAAAACTTTTTACTAACAAGTTTTTTTTTAATTATAATAATTAATATTATGAAACGAAAAATTCAAAATCCTTTCAGAATTTAGATTTTAGAAAATTTAGTATTCATTTAAGCTCTAATTTACATAACAGTCCAAAACGAAGTTAAATTCCCTCCCAGCCTCTAAAGCTTAACATTCATTACGCGTTAAAATCATATTATGCAATACCACAAAATTCAGAAACTGCATACACCTTTGTTTATCAACTTATTACCCAATGCACATTTCACATGAAGATAAACACCACGCTTTGCATTGACGGAAATAATAAAGCAACTTCATTTCAGTGGTGCCAAATAAATAATTTATATTCCATAAACATAAGGAGAAGAACCAAATTAATCTTTTATGTAAAGAACTTTATAATTGCTATTCAGAACAAAACTAATTATTGATTACTAAAATATTCATAACAAATAAAATTTTAATTTAACTATATACAGTGGTGGCCAAAATTGTGGACACTTTTGGAAATTTTTATGTTTTTGAACTTTGTATGCTTATAGAAAATGTTACGTTTCACAAAATGCAAACTTGTATATATCATTTTAAAGAGAATTTATTTCTGAATTCAATACAAAACACAAAATTCAATTATTTGTAATACAAAAAAAAAGTTATATGTACTTAATATAAATAAAAAACACAGTTATGAAGTGGTTTGTAATGTCTAGCTTTCCTGGCCAATCACTGTTCTTGTTCTGAGAACCAATCAAATGTTAGTAACTGCCAGTAGAAGCTAACATCATGTTTACACTTGAAACAATTCATTATTTTCCTTTGTTCTGTAGAAGGAGGACCTGTTTCTTATACACTGCAATTACAAGTAGGAATTTTTGTAAAAATTTTTTAATATTTAGTCAAGAAGCAATGACATCAAATAAAAGAGTAGATTGGACACCTAGAAAGAGATTTAATATTATTGTGTTACGAGAAAGTGGTCTTTCCTAAGCTGATATTGCAAGACCGGTGGGTGGTTCAGTGACTACATCTGGAGTCCGAAAGTTTTGTTTACGACATCAGGAGACAAATTCAATAAAAAACAAAGAAGGAAAAGTTACGTTTCACGCCGAAAAAGGTGCACCCCATCTATTTATGACAGAAGAATAAAAAGACTATGTCTCCAAGATAGAAAAATGTCATCAGCGGCTATCAGAAGTGATCTGAATGATGCTGGTGTTTCTGTCAGTTCAAGAACAATCATAAGATTGACAGATGTTGGACTCTGAGAGGTAGAATTCCACGAAAAAAGCCTTATCTTAATTTTCAGCAACGAAAAAAGACTACAGTGGGCAAAGGAACACATTAATTGGACAGATGATTAGTGGTCACAAGTTATATGGAGTGATGAAACTAAGATATCGTTATTCGGTAGTGATGGGCGAAAATATGTAAGACGTAGAATAGGAGAAGAGCTACATCCTGACTGCATTCAAGCAACTGTAAAGAACCTAGTTAGTGTTATGATTTGGTCATGCATGTCAGAAGATGGTATTGGTCGCCTTCATGTCATCGATGGGACACTGAATGCCAGAAAATACATTGACACTATTCTAGAACCAAAACTTCTACCTTCCATCAGAGATCTCTTTCCCAACAATGCTTCGTTTATTTTCCAGCAGGATTCTCCTCCTTGCCACACGGCCAAAATATCAAAAAGAGTGGTGGTTTCGTACAAAGAGCATTATATTGTTGTCATGGCCAGGAAACAGTCCTGACCTCAATCCTATCGAAAATGTGTGGCACCGTTTGAAAACTCTTGTCCGAATGAGGCGCCCATCAAGTAAAAGGGAAATAATTGAGGCTGTAATTGTTTCCTGGCATCATGTAATAACGAAAGAAGAGCTTTAAACTCTTGTCAGCTCAATGATACGTCGACGTGAAGCTGTAATCAAAAATAAAGGGTACCCTACTAAGTACTGATAACTCACTGCAATCATCACTATCTAATGTATATCGATAACTATTATTGTTTAACATTTTTTTGTATTGCAAATAATAGAATTTTGTGTTTTGTATTGAATTCAGTAATAAATTCTCTTTAAAATAATATATACAAGTTTTCATTTTGTGAAACGTAACGCTTTCTATAAGCATACAAAGTTCAAAAACATTAAAAATTTCCAAAAGTGTCCACAATTTCGGCCACCACTGTAAGTACAATAAAGAAAACTTAGACTAAAGAAGACCAGAAAACAAAGAAACATAAAGTGCAGAGGGTGAGTCACTGAAAAGCTATAAAAACATTTAAAAAGCTAATTTTAAAACATTTAAAAAGTTAATTATAAATACCTTTAGGTTTAAGTTTGAGAACCAGTTCTCCACAATTAGCGATTCTAACATCTTTTGTGGGTCTGCAGTTTTGATCAGTATTGATTTCCTCAATCTGTGAAATAACATCTTGCCCAGAAATAACATGGCCAAAGACAGTGTGCTTCCTAAACAACAATAAATTATAATTTCAGTCATTTATTGCACATGAAATACTTGTGCGTGAGCTTACATGCAACACTAGAAAATTTTACAACTGTTTAAACAGTTACAATTCTGTGATTACCTCTAACCTCCCCTAAATTCTGTCCCTCAGTGCAACTGCACTGGTTGTGCCGGCTCTGGCACTGGCCCTGATCTTACTAATTTTACTCCATGAAATAACATCAGCTTTTCCAAAAATACATTGATAGAGTTTGAAATTATTTATTTGATTAAAGATCTTTCAAAACATCAGAGAATATTTCACAAAATATTTTAAATATTTTTATTTAGAAATCTCTGGAGTTATTTAATATCAAATGTCATTCCTCTTAAATAAAATAATTTAAGTCAAAGGCAGAACAACAAGCATTTAGCAAAAAGAGAAACATAAAACTTTAAAATTAGACCCCCCCCCAAAAAGCAGTCTTAGTTTGGCATAGCTTTTCGACAATTTCAATTTCAAAGGCAATCAGAAAATTTACAGGTCAGCATCTACAGTAGGCAAGTCCCTCATCTTCAGGAGCAAAAACAAATTTTGCAAAATAAAAGAAGCAATAACCATTTTTATATCAAAAGGCCATTCAGAATAATAATATCTTAGTTTTTCATGTTTCAATTCTATTTTCATCAACAATCAGCCCTATATTTGTGTTCATATTACTCTGCCCATTGCTTTCAATGTAAAAATAGTTGTTGGACCTCTCATTTTGCAAAAAAATTTTTCCTCTTTAAGAAAAGGATGTGTTTCTGATTGCCCTCAAAGCTGAGAGAATTTCATTGAAATTCACATCAAATTAAGGTTGCTTTTTTTGCTTAATTTTTTGGCCCTATAATTATTTTATTTAACTATTTAGCACTTATGAAATTTCATTGTACATAAAAGGCTTACAAATTTAATTAATATTATGGATGCCTGGAGAATATAACAAATATTAATCACAATAAAAATTACTTCTAATTTTTAATTAATAAAACTATTTCTAGCTTTTATTGCGATCAAAATCAATGTTTTTTTCTGCTAAGAGAAAAAATTTTTGCTCTGCTGATGGATAAACTGGCAGTAATCTGTGTGGAAAAATCCCCCAAATGATTTATATAACGCTGTTAGAGGGCGCTTCGCTTCTGAAAAGGAATGTTAGTTTTTAGTTTGCGACGTAGTTAGTTAGCAGTGAACCTTCGATGCAAAAAGTTGCTTTGTAAATAAAATGATTATTTTTGTAGATTGTTGAAGTATTTCACTTCATTTAGAATTAGAACCACCTTTCGCAATATGGCGCATCGGTGCCGAGAACCTTTGGCCAATTTAGAAGTTTGTGTTTTTTTAATTTTGGATATCATTTTATGCGAAACAGCCAAGGTAAGCCTGTATTTTCTATTTTTTATATAAATATGGAAGATCTTGTTGCTAAAACTGAAATCGAAACGAAAGGTATTGAGGACCGGAGTGTCCAAGATATTAAAGAAAATTGAAACCGAACTGTAATAAAGATGATAGTAGTATAAATGTAAATGTATTAGAAGAAATTTTAGACCCGTTAAACGAAAAATCAAAATCCTTGAGCAATTTAGACGCTGAAATAGAACGAGAATTAAAAGTCGAAGAAGACGAATTTGAACTTGAAATCTCATCCGCTTTGGAATATGAAGAGAAATTCAAGTGTGGCAGTTTAGAGGAAAGAAAAAGTTGAAAGAGTTGAATAAGTTGGAAAATTCGGACAATGCAAATAGAGACATTTCTAATGAAACCATTACAGAATCCCAAAAAACGAAAGTAACAAATTCACTCGTCTTCCAAAATTAACGATCTCTAAATTTTATGGTGATTCTTCGGATTGGTTAGAATTCATAGGTCAGTTCGAAAATGCGATTGATAAAATCCGAATTTATCAAAAATAGAAAAAATTTAATTTACTTAAAAGCTTTTCTTGGTGGCTCAGCCGCCAAAGCTATTTCTGGTTTCGCTCTCATCGAAAATAATTACGAAGCCTGCTCTTGAACTGTTACGTTCCAGATTTGGTCAAAAGAACATCTTAATTAATTCGCATTTAGGACAACTCTTAAGTACTTTCACCTGTTAGAAATCCTAATGATATAAACGGATTAAGAAAACTTCTAGATCACGCCGAAGTACAGATAAGAAATCTTGAAGCATTAAAAATAGACTCTGATACCTACGGAAATCTCTTAACGCCTTTAATTTTGAAATTACTTCCTAATGAATTCGTTCTTGATTATAGCCGAAAAATTAAAGACGAAAATTGGGATTTAAAAGGTTTGTTAGCCTTTTTGAGGAACGAAGTATTCAGTAGAGAACGCGCGGCTTCTGTTAATTATAATTCTAGAGAAAAATATTCGCGATTGGAAAAGCATTTGCCCTTCAAACATAAACATTCTCCAGCCATAACGAAGCAAGCCGTCTACAGTTGAGTTATTAGCGCGCGTCATCCGAATCGCAGTGTCTGTTCTGCGGGAACACAAATCATAAATCTGCGGATTGCGAAATTTTAAGTGTAGAAAAGAAAAAAGAGATCTTAAAAAGTGAATCGCGGTGTTTTTTATGTTTAGGGTCGGTTTTTCACCGGATTCAAAATTGTAAACAAAAAATAAACTGTGCCTTCTGCTTTAATAAACACTCGAAAGCCATTTGTTATTCATTCCATCAGAAAAAAGATAATGAAAAACCTGAAAAGAAAACGTCGGATTCGAGCGTTATTTCTGCTGTTTCGTCATATAATTCCGATGAAAATAGATCTAATAAAATATTATTACAAACGGCTTCTGCATTGATCCGAAATAATGATAAATCTGAAAATGTCAGAATTCTTTTTGATAATGGCTCAATGAGATCTTTCATAACTAAAGATAAATGATTCCATTTTTCTACTAAAATGGAACTTCCGATTGTTAGAAAAGAATCACTTTCTGTTTATTCCTTTGGTGATAAAACTGCATTAGAAAAAACCTTTAATGTTGTTAGAGCAAAACTAGAAAATGTAAACGATCCTAATCTTAATATATATATTGAGCTTCTTGAAACCGAAAATATATCCAATACTGTTATCTCTCCTCCAGATTTGAACTTTGCTAAGAAAAATAAAATTTTACAAAATTTACAATTAGCAGATTTGTTGTAGAAAAAGTGACAAAATTGATATTCTCATAGAGGTAGATTTCTACTATTCTATTACTGGTAAAATTAAAAGAATGTCAAGAAATGTAGTAGCCACAGAATCTTTATTTGGGTGGTGTTTGCAGGGTAAAGTAAATAATGATCATAGTGAATATTAACTATGAAAGTAATTGTAAATGAAAACTTGATATCAGATCAGTTACAACAGTTTTGGAAGCTAGAAAACTTGGGTTTGGAAAGTGATACTCAAAACGACAAAACTGTTGATTTAGAAATTATGAAATCTTTCGAATCTGATATCAGGTATAAGAACTACAGATACCAAGTAAAATTACCTTGGAAACTGAATTCAAAACATTTAATGGAAGATAATAGGGATATAGCATTTGAAAGATTTAAGAAATTGAGTAACAAATTTAAAGTTGATAACTCTTTGTTTGTTCAATACACAGAGGTTTTAAAGGATTACGAGTTAAAACATATTATTGAACCAGTTCAAGAAGACAATCAAAATGATAAAACCCTATTTTATTTACCTCATAGAGCAGTCATCAGAAATGATAGAGCAACAAGCAAACTAAGAATAGTTTATGATGCTTCAGCCCATAAACCAAAAACACTCCCTCTAAATGACTGTTTATATACTGGTCCGAACCTATATCCTGATATTTTTGATTTATTGATAAAATTTAGACAAAATTCGATAGCCTTTACAGCGGACATTACACAAGCATTCTTACAGATAGAGTTAAATGAAGAAGACATGGACGTTACACGATTCTTTTGGAAAGATGATCCTAATGATAACAATGAGAGTTTGAAAACCTTTAGATTTACAAGAGTTTTGTTTGGAGTAAAATCTAGTCCCTTTCTTCTCGCTGCTACTATTAAGCATCACCTTAAAAAATATTCAGAAATATATCCTGAAACAGTAGAACTCTTAAACAACTATCCTGTATGATGATGACATTATTGGTGGTCAACAAAATTTAGAACAAGCCCTGAAAACAAGTTTAGAAATTGTGAACATTTTTAATGAAGCTAGCATGTCACTACATAAGTGGCATACTAATTCCAAAGAACTCAAAGATATTTGGCATCGCAAAGAATTTTCGATGCAAGAATCTCCTGAAGTTGTCCCGATCAAAGTGTTAGGAATTAACTGGGATACGGATAATGATAATTTTTATTTTGACACTCAGCACTTGATAAATTTCATTTCCTCGTCAATCAACTCAAAACGTTTTCTATTGCAAACCGCAGGTCGTATTTTTGATCCTGTCGGATTTTATGGCCCTTTCACTATAAGAATAAAGTGTCTGATTCAGGAAATCTGGTCTGCCAAAATTGATTGGGACGATGAACTGCCACCTGATCTTAGTTATAAATGGAAAGCCTGGTACGAAGAAATTGAAGAACTGAACCACCTCAGAATTCCCTGCTATTTAAAAGGAATATTAGATGCAGATGTGAAACAAATAGAACTCCATAGCTTTTCTGATGCTAGTTTGAAAGCTTATGGATGCGTGGTATATCTGAGAATAGTTTTGAACAATGGAACTTTTCAAACAGTTTTTGTTGCTTCCAAGAGTAGAGTTGCACCTCTGAAATCCCTTACACTTCCTAGATTGGAGCTTTTAGGTGCGCTTTTATCCGCTAGATTGAGTGATAAAATCGCAAAATGTTTAAAATACGAAGTAATCCCCTTCCACTGGACTGATTCTCAAATAACGTATTTTTGGATTCAGGGATCTCCCGAAAGATTTAAATCTTTCATCAAAAACAGAGTTTATGAAATTCAGAAACTAACTGAAAGCAATAATTGGCATTATT